CTTTCTGAATCGGTGCATATAAAGTCCAACTTAATGATGGACATATGATTAGAAATGACCTATCTTTTGTCCCCATGTTTACTTTCATTCAAGTTACTGAGAATAAGAGTGACAACTTTATCTTATATCTTAGCAGATAAACGTCCCTTTATATTTTATTCATAATAGTTTGGTCCTGTATGTCTCTTCCTGTCTTTCATTTAAAAAAGAAGAATGCTTTTTTTTCTTCATCAGCTAGTATTTTTTCTTTGATGTCTGTGATTATAGCTTCTAAAGATACAAGTAATTGAATTCCAAATACAGTGTTTTCTTTTTGGGTCAAAATTCCAAATACAGTGTATGTTACAAACTATTGTAAGCTTGTGATATGAAACTTTCTTAGATCCATATTCCTTTAATAAGGACTTTTGAGATTCATATCACAAGCATATAATGACTTGTAATTCTTCGCAGGCTATTCACATGAATATTTTTTTCTGATCTGGACAAGTTTTATCATTCGCAGGATGTTGATCTTCAAAGTTCTAGAAATTGGAGAACTCAAAACATAAAGGTAAACGGATAATTTCCCTGAAGAAAAATTGATTTATTAGATATTCACGTTATTCCAATTTTCTTTTAAGGTCATTTCGTGGGATTATTTTAGCAGGGGTGTGTCAAGCCCTATCAAGCTGCATTACCTGAGATCCAAGAGGTCTTGAAATCTGCATGCGAGACACACAAATTGCCTTTGGCACAAACTTGGGTGTCATGCATCCAACAAGGCAAAGATGGGTGCAGACATTCTGATGACAACTACATTCACTGTGTTTCAACTCTGGATCATGCTTTCCATGTGACTGATCCTTATATCGAGGACTTTCATGAAGCTTGCTCTGAGCATCACTTGTTAAAAGGCCAAGGCATTGTTGGGAAAGCTTTTATGACCAATCAACCATGCTTCTCAGATGACATAACCTCCTGTGTCAAGACAGAGTATCCTCTATCTCACCATGCCAGGATGTTCGGATTGCATGCAGCTGTTGCAATACGTCTAAGGAGCATGAAAACTGGTTCAACTGATTATGTTCTGGAGTTCTTCTTGCCAGTGGAGTGCAGGGATCCAGAAGAACAGAAAAAGATGCTAAATTCACTGTCCTTAATTATACAACAGATTTGCCGGAGCTTACGGGTTGTCACAGACAAGGAACTAGAGGAGGAATCTGATTTTCCTGTCAGTGAGATGCTAGTCTCTTCGGATCCCAGACCTAGTGGTATTGCCAGTTTCACAGAGGTCCAACTGAGCGGTAATGATGTCTCAATATTCCCAATGGAAAATCCAAGGGAGGAAGGAGCATGAAAACTGGTTCAACTGATTATGTTCTGGAGTTCTTCTTGCCAGTGGAGTGCAGGGATCCAGAAGAACAGAAAAAGATGCTAAATTCACTGTCCTTAATTATACAACAGATTTGCCGGAGCTTACGGGTTGTCACAGACAAGGAACTAGAGGAGGAATCTGATTTTCCTGTCAGTGAGATGCTAGTCTCTTCGGATCCCAGACCTAGTGGTATTGCCAGTTTCACAGAGGTCCAACTGAGTGGTAATGATGTCTCAATATTCCCAATGGAAAATCCAAGAGAGGTGCTGGGTGTGAAATCCTCAAAGTTAAGGCAACATCAACCAGAATCGAACCTAAAGGGTGGTGTCGAGTGTGGGACAGAGTGTTCTACTTTGGGTGAGGGTAGCTTCTCAAGTGTTGGTGTGAGCAAGACAAGAGAGAAAAGACGTACCAAGGCAGAAAAAGCTATCACCTTGGAAGTTCTTAGAAAATATTTTTCCGGCAGCCTAAAAGATGCTGCAAATAGTATTGGAGGTAAGCATTTCTTGCAATAGACCTGGTTCCTATTTCACGTTTTAGTTCTTGTGAATGCTTGTATGGCATTTTGCTAGCCTTCAGACTAATGGGACTGTTTGTATACTTTCTGCAATTTAATGGTTGTTTTGTATGTACGGATTGTATAATCTACATATGTGTGTTGTAGTCTTCCAAAATAAGGTTTCTCATGTTAGTATTTTCTGTTACACCTCCTAGCTTGTATGGCATTTTGCTAGCCTTCAGACTAATGGGACTGTTTGTATACTTTCTGCAATTTAATGGTTGTTTTGTATGTACCGATTGTATAATCTACATATGTGCGTTGTAGTCTTCCAAAATAAGGTTTCTCATGTTAGTATTTTCTGTTACACCTCCTAATTTGAAGTGAATTACACAAGTTCCACAATACTAGCACACTTTAGCATCTGCTGTTTTCAATATTTATGTGGATTATGTTAAACTTTCTACTGTCAACATTTTAATGTATTTCTTTTGTCATTGGTTTTTCTTCCTTTGTCAATTTTATCGTATTTAGTTTGCTCCACAACCTTGAAAAGGATATGCAGACAACACGGGATTAAACGTTGGCCATCTCGAAAAATTAAGAAGGTTGGTCACTCTTTACAGAAACTCCAACTTGTAATTGACTCAGTCGAAGGCGCATCTGGTGCTTTCCAAATCAACTCTTTCTATACAAACTTCCCAGAGTTAACATCTCCGAATTTATCGGGGACAAGCCCATTTTCAACCTCAAAGCTGAGTGATCAGCCAAAGCCAACAAACTTGTCACCTGAAGGTGGTGTTGTCAGCCCCCAGGCTACTGCATCAAAATCACCCTCATCTTCATGCAGTCAGAGTTCCAGTTCAAGCCAATGCTGTTCCAGCAGGACACAGCAGCATCCTCCCACATGTAATGTCACTGGTGATGATGATCCAATTGTTGGGGATAACTCTGGCGATGGTGTGCTAAAGAGGGTCAGAAGTGAAGCAGAGTTGCATGCCTTTGGTCAAGATCGAACACAGCTACTGCCAAGATCCCAGAGCCATAAAATTCTCAACGAGTTGCAAAAATTGCAGCCTATTCCACCTTCACTGAAGAATAATGGGGTAGCTCAAGAAGGGGAGGTTCAAAGAGTAAAAGTCGCATATGGAGATGAGAAAACCCGGTTTCGCATGCGAAGTGATTGGAGATATGAAGATTTGGTGCAAGAAATCGCAAAGCGATTTAGTATTGAAGACATGAGTATATTTGATATCAAATACTTGGATGATGACTCAGAGTGGGTCTTACTAACATGTGATGCTGATTTAGAGGAGTGTATTGATGTATGCAGATCGTCACAGAGCCACACAATTAAGCTCTCTCTCCATCTTTCTCGTCATCATTTGAGAAGGTTTATAGGTATCAATGGCCCGTCATGATGCTCCCTGAGTTGCAAAACTGAGGTAGCAGAGTATTTCCTTCTACAAAAATGGAGGCACACCTTCCTTTATTAATTTTAGTAGGGAGGGATGTTGAAGCCTCCGCTGCACAGATTGGAGTGTGAAATCTTCGCAATGTACGAACAGTAATGTAAAAGAAAAATGCAAGTTTTGTGTCTCACAGAACTGAAAGCAAGGATACTGGAAAATAACTATTTGGGTGCTCCATGTTAAGCTGCAGTTATTTGGGGATGTCGAGCTTAAGCCATTGGTTAAAGTGTACTATGTTGGTCTATTAGCTAGTTGATAGTGTTTGCTTTCAGCTCTTTTAATTACAAGCTAGTTGTTGATAGTTGTCTGTATATTTAGTGAATGAACATAATTCTTTTTCAATAATAAAGTAGGCCAATTTTCGAAGTTTGACTAACCAATACTTGAACTTTGTCATACAATCATCTTTGTTCTCCTAGTTTGAATCATTTTTCATTTTGATTCATGTCTTTTAAGTTTAACAATTTTAATCCTGTAAAAGAGTTTGGTTTTCAATCAAGTCTAAATCGTGAACTACGTCAAATAAATTGATGTAGAGTTTTTCGGTTGAAATTAACATGAAATTACTATTCTGAAATTACATTTTACCTCAAGGACTTGAAGTATATTGAGGCCGTTTTAGCCTTCACGTCAAATAAATTGATGTAGAGTTTTTCGGTTGAAATTAACATGAAATTACTATTCTGAAATTACATTTTACCTCAAGGACCTGAAGTATATTGAGGTGGTTTTAGCCTTTTTTTAATTATAAGATATTTGCTTGGTAAAAATGTTTTGGTGACTTTTCTTGATATTCCTTGAGCTTCAAGAAAGCCCATTCTTTAAATAATTAGTGTACTTTGAATTTTGGATGGAAGGACTTCAAATGAGGAATTTGAGTTTGAATTTTTGAGATCTCAGCAGCATATCTTTGGATAATAGAGTGTTTGTTTCTATGATATGTGATGCAGGGAGAACGTGGTGGGAAATGAAATAGATTAATGGATAGGTTTGATATAGAGATACGGTCCACTATTGCAGGGAGAACGTGGTGGGAAATGAAATAGATTAACGGATAGGTTTGATATAGAGATACGGTCCACTATCTCCTACTGCAAGGACCACCCTACAACTGCAGTCAACTAGAAAAATGAAAAGAACAACCCTCTATGATCAGATGCTATCCATTCCGAGGAGTTTTCTCTTGTGAATCAAACTGGTAGTTGTGCTCATTTTTTTTTAAAAATAAATCAATTAGAGAGGGGGATTCAAACTTGAACCTCTTTTAATATTGAAAAGAGAAATATCAATAAACTATGAGCTAGTTGGTGTAGTGGTTCTTAACACGGGTTTCGAACTTAAAATCTCTAAGTATTGGAAAAGTGAAAGTACTAGTAAACTAAGAGCTAGTTGGTGATGGTGGTTCACAACCTTCTCTGCAATTGCAACCATGTTGTGTTTTGGCAAGAGACATCACAAGACAACTTCAACAACCATCAAGAAATTGCTAAAATTTTATTTTTTCGATAATTAATGTTTTTAATAATTCTGCAATTGGATGTATCCTAAATTCGAAACATTCATTGCTTTTAAATTCCGACTTCTTGACTCTTGCTTGTCAAAATTTCTTTATAGAACTATCCACATTAAGGTATGATCCATGTTTATGAACTTGATGCCAAGGAACTTGATGTGAGTCAAAAGAACAAATTCTTAAAAACCTTTTTCTTTTCTTCTTGTCAGTAGCAGCTACATAATTTACATGTTGAGCTATTTTAGATATTTCTGTTATTCTTGTCATACATAAAATTTCAGCTACAAAAGAAAAAGGCGAACCCTAGAAAAAGAACTGTTCTGGCAATCTGCTTCTTTATAGTTGTGGTGGAACAGGTGCCCGATCTTGTCGCTGTTCAATGAGCACGCGTCTCGAAGGCGGACCAAACATGCTCAAGACAACCTGCAAACAACACAACGTTGAGTACTGTCAATCCAAACACAGCAACCCGATCCATGGTTTCCATCATTATTCAAACATATTTGGCTTTTTTCGGCTGTTAATTATTGTGTTCATGAGTTCTATGATTTGCATCAAGGATGGTAAGGATACGTGCTACGAAAAGTGTACTAACTTACCGGCAAGAACACGAGCCCGTGCAAGAAACCAAGAAGAACCAATGCTAGATACATTTGAAAGTAATATACCTATAAGAGCAAAGGATTGAAATATATTAGAGGCCGCTGACAGTACTGGCCAGTATAATTGGACAATGAAGTAAACGATTTAGTACCACAAAGACTTCCGTCCTTGAGAAACAAAGCACGATGACCCCAACTAACTTTGTCAATGTGATTCCACTGCAAAAGCATGTCAACAAAGAAGATATTATACAAAATTGGGGATGCAAGTTAGCTCGGAGAAAAGTTCTACATCTGTATCACACAAGAGCCCATTGGCATTGGACTTAACATTTCAGCTCTTTAATGAAGCATGATCTATTGCGTATGATGCTCTGAGATGTACCAAACATAGTGAAATAAACAGGAGTTAGTGCCCTCCTTTTTTTTAGGAAAGTGGATCGGCCATTGGGATAAGTACCTGAAGACAGAGGCTCCCATTGTAGCCAAAGCCTCCTTGGTGCGCTGATCTTTATCTCCTGTGCTAACCTGTACCGAAAGTCTTAGATACACGCACTTGCAGAAAAAGAAAAGGGTAGCGTGACACATTGACACCAAAGGTTACTTGAAGTCATAACCAAACCAAGATTTGAAGTGACCATGAGCTGAGAAACTACAAATACCTTATAAAGAATTTTAAAACCATTTAAAGTCATTAAAGCATTACATTGAAAGCATTTTGTTTTTCTGAAAATTTGACTACTAAGTATCTTTTTATCTTTTCTTTGAAAAAAAATTGAAATGGAACAATTGATGGATCAAATCTCTAACCTGAAGAAAAAAGTAAATATTGAGATAAATGTTTAAAAGAGTGATACTGACCGAGAAAGCATGTGTCATATGCACGCAAAACTCAACAGAAATGCCCACTGCCATTACAAGATTAACAACAGAGACTGCATTCAATTGGATGTTAAGAATTGCCATCACACCCTGTAGAATAGTATCTTGTGAGCAAACATGAGAGCTGATGGAAGTGTTTTGTTTTAAAAGAGAATTTTTAAGGAAGAAAGATCACCATGAGATCCACTACAATCATTGCCAACACCAATAGAATAATTGATGAACTCCATAAACTACAAAACAAATTTGAAGGAAATATCAATACATCATTCATTCAAAACAAACACCTTCTTGCAAAATTTAGTTTCTAAATTAAAGAAGCTGAACACCACAAGTAGTCTTGTCTGCAATTGAATTAAGGGCTAAGTATATCAATACTGACCTGCAAGTGATAGCTATTTTTTTTTTTTTTTTTTTTTTTTGGTTAAGTTATCTGCTATCTTTTTGTTCAGTGCTGTGAAAAAATAACTGACCAATGGCTATAGAAAGGTTGATCAGTGCTGTTCTCCAAATATCAAGGTATTGCTCAAAGAACATATAGAATACTGAATATGGGAATATCTCAATCTGCATCAGAAAAGAAATATCAGTTCAATAGACATACCACGACTAACACATAAGTGAATCAATAAGTTAATTTATTTTCATGACATAATGGAATGATAAACCAGTGGCTTAGGGAAATGGGCAAGACAAGACTGCTGTACTCAATCTAACTGGGAAAAAGTGGGTATTTGGTCCAAGGACCCAAAAAGAACCCATTTTGAAAAGTGGACCCTTTTTCAGAAGGTCAAAAAAATGAACCCTTTTCTGCATAGAGAAAGACTATTCTACCCACATCTCGACCTATGCAAAAAGGAAATGGCTTTCAACTCCTAAGAAAAGGAGTCATTTTGCATAGTTTTCCTGTTGGGTTTCATGGTTTAAAATTATAATAAACTAGCAGTTTACATGCTTACTGACTTGGTAGATTCTCTCCCCTCTTCTTTTGACACTTTTTCAACTTAGTTATGATAATAGCCATTTTGTTTGGACACATACATACAGTTTATTATTTACAATGGCAATCCTGTATAAAAAAAATATATGAGCTAATTAATACTATATATATATCAAGGGAATTTATGGAAATACAGATTTTGATGTGGCTTTATAATATTAAAGATCTACTGTAAATATATCAATCATCTTCGCAAGTAGCCTTCAAATCTTACCTTCAAAGAATCAGAAAGTCTAGAACTGAGCTCCCGAGCAGCCCTCATTGAATTTACATAGTCAACCTAAAATAAATTGTAGATATTTAAGTTATGGGGCTCACTTTAGTATTACTTAATAAAAGAGATAATAGATAAAAAATGAAAATTTTGTTTGTATTGATCACAGACGAGATACCTGCTTGTTGAGAGGTGTATGATATGTACGAAATGATGATGCTGGAATAATGTCACTTCCATTGCCTGATAGCCAAAAATATGATTAACTATTAAAAAAGTAAATTGAAATAACAAGCCACATCTGATGACAGTTTAACCTGAAAGCACATAATCAGTTTGGAAGTTATCATAAAGGCACAATATCCAATCCACAAACCTTTGAATTCCACACTGCTAGTGTAAGCTCCATGGCCACCTTTAGCACAATCAGAAGACGGTAGAGCACTGAGGAACCAGGGAAGTTTTTCTTCAAATTGTGTGGTAGATGGACGCCCATTGCGCAGATCTGAGTGACGAAAGCACTGACACAGCAAAATTGAAAACGAGAATTGATGCATGCGTAACTAGAAACATAAATTTGGTTAAAACGTTTCTCCATCATTAGTTATTTTACCGTAGTACAATCTTTGCACACTCCACCCAGGCTACAGGAACCATCACTGGAAGAACAGCAGGGAGGCTGGAAGACAACTTAATTTTAGTATCAAGTGGATTGCAGAGACAAAAACAAAACAGGATGAATTGTGGTATAAAAGATGCATAAGAGGACAGCAAAAGAATTATTTTCTTTCAAATTTTATATTTTAAATTCTTGCAAGTAACTGTAATGATCCATAGTTCAGAATGGTATCGGACTGAAAACATCCAGCAAGTTTTGAATTCCCAAATGGTGGAGTTACTCAACATGCTCAACTGAAATAAAAGTGATTCCATGATTCCAAAACTAAAAGAAATTCCAAACATCAGATCATACTAACATGATTCCATTACCATACAAACATTCATACTAAGAAAAAATGTATCATCACCTGATCATCAGGAGGGCAGTACGCCCCATTTGTAAACTTCCGACAGCACCCAAATGCTTCTGGGGATATCCACACAAGAAAATCATCAAGCCATGAAGCAGCAGGCTTGGCGATGTAACTTGATTCTGGAGTTAAGGATGCTCTTGCAATCTGCGGAAACAAAAGGACAATTAATACATGCATACAAAAGGACAATTCATATGCATACAGAAGGACAATACAGACATATACACTGCAGAATTAATATACAAGAAGACAATTCAAACACATACATTCTGGAATTAATGATGATCTAGCATTCTATAGACACAGAAGGACAATTCACACACACACACAC